TTTAACATTTTAAAACATTTTTATTGTTAAAAGCATCGAGTTTACTGATTTTGAATTGTGCTTAATTGATTTTCCTAGTTAGTTTTTTCAATTAAAAGGGCTGAAATGCGCCTTAAAAACCATCGTTCAAAAGGCTGAACTGTGCCTTTAAGCAAGCCACGTTTTTGTCAACATGGACGCCACCTGATACTTTGTACAACTAATCTTGGAAGCAAAAAACTATAAAAGTCTTACGTTTTATCATATGTGTTGAAGATTATCACAAACTGACACAAACACAGTTTTTAGTCCAGTACAGTTTTTAATCCTCGGCAATCTGACGTCCGGTTGACAGAAGTCTTGCTTAAAGGCACAGTTCAGCCTGTTGAACGATGGTTTTTAAGGCGCATTTCAGCCCTTTTAATTGAAAAAACTAACTAGGAAAATCAATTAAGCATAATTCAAGATCTCCAAACTTAATGTTTTTAACATTTTAAAACATTTATATTGTTAAAAACATCGAGTTTACTGATTTTGAATTATGCTTAATTGATTTTCCTAGTTAGTTTTTTCAATTAAAAGCAGTGAACTCTAAGGGAACTGGAACGATAACTTGGCGGCCATCTTTGAAGCCAAAATGAAGGCCGCCATGTACGTATGGAGTGGAAAATACGCCACCAAAAAGATGTCTGTTTTCGACCACTAAATAGCTGTATTTTAACAAGGAAAAAAGCTAAAAACTTTCAACAATACCTGAAATTTAATACAAAACATGTTTCCAGAACGTAGAGCAGTTACAAAGTTCTTTTTTCAGGAGTCAAAGTGCGAAGTTTTTTTCGGCACGTTCAAACTTGTGTAATATTTTGAATATCAAGCTGTTACCCAGGACGTTTTTGCTGTTAGTGGATGTAAAATACTTAGAACTATCCAGGAAACCAGGTTTGAATCTTTAAAGTTGAAGCCTTTAGATAAAAAAGTACTTTTTCTTGCTGATTTTCGCTCAAAAACAAACTTTTGACTGAATTTCCCGCTCCTCGAAACTCTCCCCAGTCCTTTTGAAAGTTAATTTATTGCTGGCCGTGCTCGCGAGAAGCGCCATTTTGGCTTCAGGCAAGTATGGGCATGTTTATCTGCAGTTAGCGTTCCAGTGTTATTACAGTTCACTGATTAAAAGGGCTGAAATGCGCCTTAAAAACCATCGTTCAAAAGGCTGAACTGTGCCTTTAAGCAAGCCACGTTTTTGTCAACATGGACGTCACCTGATAATTTGTACAACTAATCTTGGAAGCAAAAAACTATAAAAGTCTTACGTTTTATCATATGTGTTGAAGATTATCACAAACTGACACAAACACAGTTTTTAATCCAGTCCAGTTTTTAATCCTCGGCAATCTGACGTCCGGCTGACAGAAGTCTTGCTTAAGCACCCAGATGTCTTTGCGGTGTTTTCACTTGCCTTTGCTTGTCTGTATTTATGTATTTTTCTGTTTGCTTGTTGGTCAGGGTAATGGTTCAAAGTAAATGTAACTAAAAGTAGAAAGCTACGGTGTGAAGGATATGCAATTACCTGAAAACTATAAGCTGAACTTCGACGTTATAAAGACCCATTTCCACTCAGGAAAATTTTCCGCAGAAAGAAAATTTTGTAAAATGTGATTGGCCGGCACAAAATTTCCATGGGAAAAAATTGAAGTTGAAAATTTGATCTTTTAACAATGATATTTTCAGAAAATTTTCTGGAATTTTCAACAGTTTCTGAGACGTAATTCAAGAGGAAACTTATTATTGCATTTGAACTATTATATCAGTTGATGTTATTCTGTGCGATTAGCGAACATTATTGGCTTCCATATACGTTGAAATCAGAAAATAAACAGCTCATGCGCACATTTTTCCACTTCGTCGTAAGTTTACAGAGCAGATTTTATACTTTGGCACAGATCTTTGTCTTTGATGTGAACATTTATTCTTATAGTTTAAGGTTATTTAATTTAAGAGTGATCCTGTTGTAAGTCTTCTACAAGCAACCCAACGACAATATTTCATTTTAGCGTTGTCTTTGCCGTTCCGTTGGCTTCGCGTTAGTTTTGTTTTAAATACCTTTATCGCGTTAAAAGAGTTATTTTTCAAGCCAGTGACATAGCCAAAAGACTTAGCATTAACGTCTTGTGATTTTATAGAAATATCTGTTGAACTGAGGATTTTAGAAAACGTTATCTGTACCTTCTCAAAGTTGTAGACAAAATATGTTGTTTACGCCCAACATGCATATGATTACTACTGCTTAATGAAAATTGGTCCTTTTGAGTGACATAATCGTGTGTCGTCATCGATCTGTGTCGTTGAACAATGAAAAAATTTGTTGTGAAATTAGTGAAGATAAAATTGCAGTTTGTGAGAAAACTGCAGGACTAAGGAGCGGGAACTTTTCGGATTTGAACTCAGCGTGTTCGAAAGTGTTAGTTCCCGTAAAAAAATTTCAGTTCCAAGACATGGGAAATGAAAGTGAACGATATCGGGACGCAGCAAACGGGGCATGTGGTCTTTAATTCCAAAATGTGTTAATGGTTTACTTTTTAGAAAATACGAAACAATGGACACTCCGAAAACGTTTGAAATTTTTATTCAATGTTTCAACTGACTTGCAGTCATCATGAGGAATGACACTGCTAAAGTTCAAATACACTGTAGCTATATGCACAAGATTAAATGACATATGATATCGTAGTTCAAGATTACAAAAAAAACACAAAAATGTTAACCGTTTTCGGAGTGTCCATGAATTATTTTGTATTTTTTAAAATATGGAGGTTCAGATTTGACTACCGCTTTCTCTCACTGGCTTTGTACGCATCTGATTGGTTAATCAGATTCATTAAACGCATCTGATTGGTTAATGGTCCCTTAATGGTAGCGATAGCGATAGTGGAAGTCAAATCTGAACCTCTCTAATAACTCAATTTTAACTTTTGTTTACCTTCTAGGCCCTGTGAAATGTCTCATGTGAGATTGGCTGCTGCTTGTGGATATTTGAAGCTTGCTGAACATCCTGCATATCACGAATATCTTAACATAAACTGTTTTCAAAACTTGATTTCCATTATAAAGGTATGTTTAGTAGATTGAAATTGTCGCCTTCTTGGTTGATTTTAAAACACACTATCGAGCTACATATTCTTCATTTCTGGTCGTATTCAGCTACATATTCTTCATTTCTTGTTTTATTGAACTACATATTCTTCATTTCTGGTCGAACTGAGCATATTTTTCGTGTCGACCAGTATTGAGCTACATATTCTTCATTTCTGGTCGTATTGAGCTACATATTCTTCATTTCTGGTCATATTGAGCTACATATTCTTCATTTCTGGTCGTATTGAGCTACATATTCTTCATTTCTGGTCGTATTGAGCTACATATTCTTCATTTCTGGTTGTATTGAGCTATATATTCTTCATTTCTGGTCTTATTGAGCTATGTACGGTACATATTCTTCATTTCTGGTCGTATTGAGCTACATATTCTTCATTTCTGGTCTTATTGAGCCAGATACCGTAAAACTATTCGTAATATACGGTAACTGTTTGAATGGTTTAACATACCAGGAAATAAAAAGTTAATTCAACCTCTTCACTGTAACGACTAAATTACTTTAAGCTTCAGAATGATTTAGAATCAATGAAGATGGCGCCCAATAACACGTTATGACGTCGTAGTTTGCAAAGAAAACTGCCAAACATTACTTCGCTCTCAGTTAATATTCCATGTGCAATGGACCAATCCCCAATTAACCAAAATTTTGATCTAAACAAGTCCGCTCTTTCATGCTGTGATGAAATTTTGTCTATCACAAAATTAGTAATATTCCAAAGTTTCGTTGCGAAATGTTGTAAAATGCGGATAATATAGCCTTGCGAAGTTTGTAATTTTCAGTCATTTTGTATTACGCACGGAAGTGGTAACCATTTCCCGTTTGTAATCTAAAATGACTGAAAATTGCAAACTTTGCAAGGCTATATTATCCGCATTTTACAACATTTTGCTATGAAACTTTGGAATATTACTAATTTTGTGATGCTCTTTCAAGCTGTGATGACATTTTTGTCTAGACTTGTTGTGTTCAAAATTTTGGTTAATTGAGGGGATGGGTACATTAGTGGCATGTTTGATCTAAGGCTAAGCGTGGTAAACTAATTGACTTGGTACCACTGATGCTCGGTATTAAATATGACTGAAATCTGGAGCTTGTTCAATATTGTTCCGGACGAGTTCGCTGCCGTGTGTAAAACTACCACGGTTCTATTTGTTTGGACGGGATCATCCTTGAACCTTGTTACCTGGCATTATGGAACTTAGTTCAGAGTTAATTTAGACGATTTTTATATATTAATTTTACTAAATTGAATTATAATATAGCATTTGTAAATTCTGAACGCTGATTGGCTAAGAGCCGTGTTGATATAACTCCATGTCAACACGGGAAATTTTCCGCCGCTTGTAAACACGGAAATTTTTCTTATTCTTCGGGCTTTTGGCATTGCTATATTATAAAACAAATATAAAACATTTTTTCCGTATTGATATATAGTTATATCAACACTTGTGGAAGTTGGGAAAACTCGAAATTGTATGAAAACACTCCGCCCTTCGGGCGTCGTGTTTCCACACAATTTCTCGTTTTCCCAATTTCCACTCGTGTTGATATAACTGTATATCAACACGGAAAATGTTTTATATTTAACAAATAAAAACGTGAGAACAGGTGGAACCGTACAATCTTTCGTTACCTTCCTCCGTATTGCCAGAACCAGCCGATAATATAGAGCGTTTGCACTCATTCCCCAGGGACCAACTCAATAAAAGCCATGTTGGTGTTCCAGACAAAAGAGTCTAATTAAAATTCTTTTGACGGCTGTGACGTCATGTGCAAACGCTCTATAAGGAACTATAGCAGAAAACAAAAAAAGAAAGGAAAAATGAAGGCGTCTTGAAAAATATGGACTAAAACAAGACGTAATTTTTTTTAAAGATGTTTTTATTTTTGGGTTTTGTTTTATTCTTTAGTGTGAAACAGTCATGACTGATTCTTGGAAAATGAGATATCGTTTCGGATGTCATGTTCTCGCTGTCTGTTTCTCTATTATTACGCATCATTTTTCATGGCTGTAAGAGGCGCTCTGTACAAGTAACTCACCGATATGTTTCAATGTTTTCTAGGACACGTGCAGTCAAGTTCGAGAAAAAATTGCTAAGAAGTTATCAAAAGGACTGGATTCCCTAAAATTGCCATTGGAATATCTCGCATTGTTTTCATTTTATGGCAAAGAAACGTCGAAGGATATAAGACAACAAGTATGCTAACTCAATTTTCAATATGGTTTGTACATTCGTGTCCAGGGTCTTCTTGGTATGTACATTCGTATGTCATACGTATGTTGTTCAGTATGTAAACGTTTTGTTATATTGTACGTAAATGCTCACTAACAAATCTTCTGTCGATATTCGATTAATTTTGGCAACCGGTTCCTTCACAACCTCTTACGGGTTCAGTCTGGAGTTTCTGTCGTCATTTATCTCTAACCTTTCATACCTTCGTTCACTCTATTTACCAATCCATTGTTACGCCTTCCTTTCTTTTTCCAGAAATTACTATGCCCACCGCTCATCTCGTGAGCGCGATCTTTTCTTCATTCCATCTCGGCCATATATATCTTACTGGTTTTTTTTTTCATTTTCTCTCTCTAATGGAGATTCCCTGCTCCCAACGCAACATTAGTATATTCGTTTTCACAGGTACAGTACTAGTTCTTTCACCACCACGTGTCTGTTCCAAACATGTAATAGCGTTGGTCTTATATATCATTGCTTAATATAACTTTGTTGTCCTTACACCTACTCCCAATATGTTACTGGAATACTGGCATGAATACTTGGGCCTTATAATCTATTCTTCAAAATACACATAGTTTGCTAACACTATATACCTGTTCACTCCACTCGTTCTCATTAATCGCAGAACCACTCGACTAACAAACATAGTAGAATATGATTTTTGAGCCGTTCTCTGGTTGGAAATATTTATTTATCACGAGCTTTCGGCTGCTAGACTGCAGCCTTCAATGGGTAGTTATAAAATACAATGATTACAGACGAGTACGGTTTACAATTACAGAGCATATGCCTACGCTAACACCGCGGAAAAACGACTACGCATGCGTCAACCTTACCTGTATAGTATTGCGAACTTGATGAGAAGCTGTTCCGAACGTTTCCGAAAGCTCAAAATGGCGGTAAAATGGAGTGACTTCATTGTGCGTCTTTACAGCCAGATTTCGAGCGCAAAAATAAACATGTCATTCTAAAAACTAGGAATAAATTCAGCCAGATGGTTCAAGAAATTGTATTGTACAAGAACATGAACTAAAGGTGATTGTTGACAAATTTATCGTCTGAAACATTTTGTTTATCAACTAAGC